CTGGCTGGCTGGCTGGCTGGCTGGCTGGCTGGAACTAGAGTTCAGTCTGGGGAGATTTTCTGTCTGGAGGTTGTAGCTAATAAACGCAACAGAACTGTATTTGCATTGTCTCTTAGAGTTCTTTGGGCTGAACTTGATATCAATCTCCCCAGACTCAGAAAATCTCCCCAGACTGAACCCTAGTTCCCAAGCCAGCCAGCCACAACACTGTGAATTCCTTAGGGAGGTGCCAGCCTCATCTTCTTGAACTTCCCATGCTCCTGCTGGGGGCTAAGAACACGCTTATCTCCCTGACCCTGGCCTTCATAAGTCCATTCCATCACAAACCCTGAGTTACACATATTTGTTTCTTTCTCAGCTTCTGACTTCCACTGAGGCATGGCAGTGAGGCTTTCAGCCCTTTTACTTCAGGGGGGTTAAGTGGAAACTTTTACAACATAGATACATTAAGATTACTGGAGGTTAAGGCATCTATTTTACTTGCATTTTTTTAATGGATGATTTTGCAGCCAATACGCAGCATTGTAGGGGGCTCTGGAGATGGCAGAAAGGAGTTGGGGACCAGCACATAGTCTGCAAACTGCTCACTCCTGAACTAACTGCTGTATTAGCTATATATTGCACATGTCAAGAAGCCAGGAGTCAACTCCCAAATTATTTTGGTTGCAATGTGAAAGGATGTTCAAGTAAATAAAGTTGGAGAGCTGATATAGGTAACTATAGTCCTTTCCTGGATCAGGAGGCTCTTCGAATGGTCACTCATGCCCTTGTTATCTCCCAGATAGACTACCGCAATGCGCTCTACATGGGGCTACCCTTGAAGAGTATCCGGAAGCTTCAGCTGGTCCAGAATGCAGCCGTGCGAGCTATTTTTGGGCTCCAACAAAGGACCGATATAACACCATTGCTCCGTGGGTACCGGTTTGCTTCCGGGTACTGGCTTGCTTCCAGGTCCAATTCAAGGTGTTGGTTATCACCTTTAAAGCCCTACATGGCATGGGGCCAGTTTACCTGAGGGACCGCCTCTCCCCCATGATTTCAACCCGTCCCACCCAATCACAGAGACAGGGCATGCTCCGGACCCCCTCGGCAAAAGAACTCTGACTAGCGGGGTCCAGAAGGCGGGCCTTCTTTGCTGTAGCCCCCACCCTCT